CACAGTTACTATATTTTATAAAACTTAAGTTGTCGTTTGATTCTTCACTTTATTTTGAATTTTTTGTTAAGAGATTGTTTTTTTTTTTTTTTTTTGGTGGAACCAGGGATGAAACACAGAATGATAGAAAAGTTACATACTATGAAGAAAGTTGGAGTGGTTATATTACTGTCAGTCAAAAGAGATTTAAGGATGCTAGGTAGATAGATCAGTGGCATAAGTGCCTGCCTGGCAAGTGCGAGGTCCTAAGTTCAATACCCAGTTCCACCAAAAAACCACACACAAAAAAAAAAAGATTTAAAAGCAGAGAAAATTATCAGAGGTAGAGAGACATTATATAATAAAATATCAATCTTTCATAAGACATAAAAAATATTAAGTATATGTGCACCAATAACAGAACTTTGTGTGTGTGTGTGTGTGTGTGTGTGTGTGGTTTTGTTTGTTTGTTTGTTTGTTTTTTCCTGTATTTTAGGAAACGGTCTACAGGGTGTTCAGGGTCTCACTACTATATCGGACTCGTAGTGATTCTCCTGTCTACAGCCTCCCAAGTGCTGGGATTACAGGCGTGCACTACCACGCCCAATCTCAATAGACAGTTCATCGCGCACCGGCGACAGGGCCAGCACGGCAGGCCCGGGGATGGAACCCCCCAGCGCCTGTGCCGGGTTGCAGGCGCTTTAATCCGCTATTTGGCCGGCCCAATAACAGCACTTTGAAATTCAAAAAATACTATTAGAACTGAAAAGAGATTTTTAAAGTCCACAAAAATATTTGGAAACCTAAACATCATTCTAAGAGGTTAAAAAATTGGCAAGACTATAAAAGAAGCAAGTAAAAGTATTAACTGAAGAAAACTATCATCTAAAGAACATGCCGTTCAACAGCAAAATACACTTTTTTCAAGGGCACGTTGAACCTTCATGGAGATAGGTCACTTCCTGGGTCACAGAATAAACCCTAATAAGTTTAGAAGAATTAAAATCATACAAAGCATGTCCTCTGACCATAATAGAATTAAAAATAACTTAAAATAGCAGGAAAATTCCTAAATAGCAACAAATTAAACAGTATAACCCCAAATAACACAGGAGTCAGGAAGTCTCAAAGGAAATTCCAAAATATTTTAAACTGAAGAAAATTTTTAGGAACTATCACAATTTGTGGTGTTCAACTGAAGTCATTCTTAGATTTATAGCATTAAATTAAAAAATAAGAAAGTTCTCAAATATAAGCTTATAACCTTAAACACATTAAAAAGGAAAATAAATCCTGAGCAAGCGAAAGCAAACAAATCAAAAAAAAAAAAAAAAAAAAAAAATAAAAACGGAAATGAAACACGAAAAAAAATCAAATACAGCTGGGGGTGAATTTCAGTGC